CAGTCAGCTTATTTAGGTGTTCTGATTACTGGTCTGGTAACAAGGTGCACTCCCAACCTCACATCACTGTCATGAATATAGTTTTTAAAGTATGTTTACATCAATAAGCTGTCTTATCAATCTCATCGTAAAACTCTCACCTTTTATTCTATAACAGGAATAATTCATACAAGAACTAAACAACAACAAATGGTTCATTCTTCAAAAAGAATTCAACGGATTCTCCTCCTTTCCCTCTGTTGCGTCAACACACGATGACTATTAGCAGATGATAATGAAATATCTCTGGAGCGAGTGATTAAATCAATATGACATTTGTGACACACGCACACTCACATTCGCCGCGTTCGATTAACACCTGACATTTTGTCTATTGTGATCATACAATCAAAATTAGAATTGAATAAACACCTGATTGGATTAGACCACGTCGGTGCAAACCAAATTAAACTTTGACCAGTCTCCAGGCTTTCTTCTTGTTGTTGTTGTTGTTGTTGTTGTTTTCAGAGCCTGTTTTAGACTTAGCAGCTTTTCAGCCTTTGTTAAACTTTATCCATTTATTGTAATGCTGTTGATTGTTACTGTATTTGCCCATTTGTAGGGTTTGTAATATTTAAAGAATGCATCAAGTCCCTGCCTTAATCACAGCATAAATATTTGATTTTCAGCATTAAAGTATTTCACTACTTTCTTTGTACGGAGCCAAAATATTTCACTACTTTCTTTGTACGGAGCCTTTAAACAAAATACAATTGATTTACATCATCCTTTTTTTTTTTTGGCACGACGTAACTCGATTTTCACTCTGCAGCTTTACACTCTCAAACCCCAGTCTACGCCATGTCCATTATTGGGTCCTCCGTGTCTATATTACTGTTTCATCATGATGAGCAGGACTCGAGCAGAGAAGTCATCGACACTTGGTTAAACAATGAATATGTCTGCTAAATCACATGGTCCTGGTCCTCAGTTACACATAAGGAGTGTCATTAAGGGGTTAAATGGGAGCAGAGGGAGAAACTTAAATGTACATTGCTGCTGCTGCTGGTGGTGGTGGTGGTTTGCAGGGGAGGTTAGTGTACTGTAGATGGGAGTAGATGATGACAGTGTAACAAGCAGGTTCAGCCAAGCTTCACATTTTAGCTGCAGGTCTGAGAGCTCCTGCAGAATATGTCCTTCTTCAGGTTCATTACCTCTGTCATAGCTATGAATCGTCCTCAGCGTTGGAAAAAGAACATTAATGTGACTGGTAGTCTGTGAAAAATCATGGAGTGGTCTCTGCACCGCAGGCACTGTTTTTTTCCTCTTTTTTTTTTAGGAAGAGTCATGTACTCTGTGGGATGTGCTGGGATTGTATTTGAATACTATGATCTGTGAGTGGAGTAAAACTAGTCCTGTGACAGCATCATAGCCATTGATCACTGCTTGTTTTCTTGTTTTTAGTTCATGATTTCTGTTGTTGTTGACGATAAGATGCAACAATGCTCCTAAAATGAGGAAAAATTATTATTATTATTGTTTCTTTTGGTACTTGGTCAAACTAAGCTCATGATTTTCTTCTAACTGTACAATTTATATTTTTTTAACAATAGCTGAGCATCCTCTTCTAGTTGATTGCGTTTGAGAGTTTGCCTTGCCGCCGCATCCAAATAATGAAATCATTGACTGCCCTCTGAGCTCATTGTCATTGAAAATCCCAATAATCAGAACGACTTTATCGTCTCCCGTCTTCATTTTTCATCATTGTGTGAACTGTCAGGCAGGACGCGCTGTGAGACACGGTGACCTTTTAAACCCCGTCTGCCTCAGTTCTGAGTCCTTTCTGGAAACACGGTGTGAATTGTGAAGCACGCAGCGGGGCGGCGCGACTCACTAGTTGCGCGTTGTTAAATGGCCCACTGTTTTGACACGACCTGATTTACTGCTTTGCTTCTTTCTGAATC